TTTCTCTGCAATTCTACATATTTTATTTATGCATTTTAAAGCATTATTCCAAGCATGGGTTCATAGGTTTTATTACCTTGCCAAGGGGTTTGTGGCATGAAAGAGATTATTCTATTTCCCAACAGAATCTCAGTACCTGCTAAGCAATAGCTTGCCATTCTCCTCTCCCCCCAGCCCCTGGTAACCACTAAAAAACCTTTGTCTCTATGCATTTGCCTATTTTAGATATTTCATAGAAGTGGAATCATAAATCTTTCTCCTTTTGTGTCTGGCTTAATTTCACTTTGCAATGTTTTCAAGATTCATCCATGTCATAGCATGTGTCAGAACTTCATTTCTTCTTTTGGCTGAATAATAGTCCATTGTATGTATGTACCACATTTTGTTTACCATTCATCAGTTGTTGGATACTTGGGTTGTTTCCACCTTTTGGTTTGCTCTTTCTTAATATTAGGCATATAAGAACCCCTTCAGGTCTCAAGAATTTTACTTCTTCTACCCCAAAGGGGCTCAAAGTTGTCTAAGTTAGAAGTGCCCACCAGAGGGAACCATTTAGTTGAATTATCCCTGGCATACCAATTCCATTTCTGAAGGGCCATAAAATACACAGCTGTTCATTTGGATGGGGCAGGCACAGGTGTGAACCCCTCCCCCAACACACATACCTCGATTCCCAAGGGAATGACAGACTTGGAGCAACCAGAGTCTCATGTCTGTATGCAGGACCCAGAGCATCTTCCTACTTCTTGGTCTGGCTGTGGGTTGCTGGGTGTCCATGCATCAGCCCTAGGTGTCTGCCCAGGAAGACCCTGCTCCCATGGTTCAGTCAGCCTAGATCTAGCCTCACCCTGGGCCTGCCTCTGGGTCCAGTGCCCTTCCCAGGAGAGCTTATCACGTTAGTGCCTCACCTCTTCACGGTGCTGGGTGCTTCACCATGGAGACTACACATAGCTAGAGTCACTCTCGGTGTGATTGATGTAGAGAAACAAGTTGGCTCAGTATATAACCTGTCTCTTACCTGAAGGGACAAGTTGGGAGATCTGACAGCAAAGGGTTGGGTGGTGTGATGCTGGGCTAGAGAGAGGCTGACAGACCCTGGGAGTCACTTCTTGGCATGGATTTGTGTTCCATGTTCTAGCCTCTCTTGGTAGGGGCTGAACTCTCCTCCAGGCTTCAAGCCAGAGATCCACCAAACCTTCCTTTTCCACACTTCAGTCTATTGCCCCTTCCTCCATTGCTCACGAATCCACCCTGTTCCTCTGTCCTACTCTGCTGCCCTGGCCAGCTCAGCTTCCCTCCCCCGACTTACCACAGCCTCACTGGTCTCTGGCCTCATTTTGCCCCTCCAATCCATCCTCTCCCAGCCCCAGGGTGATCTGCCTAAAACCAATCAGCTCAGCTCCCATTTCAAAATGGCACTGGCTCGCTGACGCCTCCCTTTTCAAACCAAACTCCCTGGCCTGACATTCAAGGCCCTCTCAACTTTGCTTGTCTCCTCTACCCCCTCACTACCCCTTGCATCCTGTAGCCCTTGGTCATGCCCTCACAGCCAGGGAACTTCCTCAGTGTGGTCCTGGGGCATGGCCTACCCTCTGTCACTACCATATCATACTGCAGTGGGCCCCGCATGGCACAGAGCAAGCATCTGAAACACTTGTGAGAAACAAATGAAACCTCCTTGAAAATGCTGCTGCCATCTGAGCAACTGGCCCTAGGTCTTAAAAAGCTGTTGTGCTTTCCCCAGAGCCCCACCAAGTCTGGGCTATCTGGAGGCATACCTTTGAGTGACAGGCCTCAGGGCCTCGCCCTGGCGGCAGCGATATGGAAAGAGGAGGGGGTTTGCTCACCTTCTGCGGCTGGGCCTTCCTGCCATATCCCTCAGGAGTGCCAGGCATCCGTCGCTCAGCCATCCTCTTCCGCTGTTCTCTCTTGAATTCACTGTGACCTAGGAACAGCTCAGGAACAGTGCCTGACCAGCACCCTTAGGGTGGACTCTCACACTGGGCGGGGGGGTGGGTGGGTGGGTACATATTTCTGCAAAGGTGAGAGCCTTCAGTGCCTTTCACCGCTTTCCTGCCCAGACTCCCATTTTGAGCACTCAGCACGTGAAGTGGCCCCCATGGAGGCCAACTGCTGGGAGAGAGAGACAGGAAGTGTGGTAAATTCTACCCTGAGGCTACCTCTGAACCCTTCCAAGGGGCAAATCCACTGGGGAAGCAAGGATGAAGCCCCAGGCTTGGGACTCAGCTGTCTTGTTGGAGGGGAAGAACCTGGGATGGAGGCCCCAGCTGACCCAGAGGTCAAGTCAGCAAAATGGGCTCTCATAGCTCCTGTTCCTCTGCCCCAGCCTGTGCTTCATTCCAGAGCCCCCTCTGCTCCTGTCAGGGTGGAATGGGGACTCACACTTGGCCTGGTGTAGACCCCAACCCACCAGTACATTGGAGTGAAAGTGCGGAGGGGCTCCAGCCACACAGGATGGAGATGCCAGAAGCCAAGGCAGCCAGATGTTCTGCTGAACACTGAATTTGTATTCATCCCGCACTGTGGTGGCAGCAGGAGGTGCTGCTCAGTCACTTCCTGGCAGTTTTGTGAACTGGGACCGGATGGCTGGAGCAGCAATGCAGCCAACCAAGGGTGCTAAAAAAAAAAAACCCATTACTGTCGATTCTGACTCATAGAGACCCTATAGCGACCAAGGGTGCTAGTGCCTCTAATATGGGGAAGGGGATGTGGGTGCCTGTTGTGGATTGAACTGTGTCCCCTCCAATATATATATTGTAAATTCTACCCCTATACCTGTGGATGTAATCCCATTTGGGAATCGGGCTTTCTTTGTCAAGTTAATGGGCCTATATCCGCGTAGGGTGTTTAAGCCAATCACTTTTGAGATATGAAAGGAGCAGATTAGGCACAGATGCAAGGAAGCACAACTGGAGGGAAAGATGGATGTCATAGGAAGATTGCCAAGGAACCAAGGAAGAGAAGTTGAAAGAGATAAGATTTTCCCCAGAGTGAACAGAAAGCCTTCCCCTGGGGTAGCCACCCTAAATTTGGACTTATAGCCTCCTGACCTGTGAGAAAATAAATTTCTATTACTTAACACCACCTCTATCTGTTATAGTAGCACTGGGTAGGTGGTCTGAGGTATGAAAAACTAAACATTGGCACGGGTCCTGTAAGGGCACCCTTGGGGACAGGGAGCTGTGGTCTGTGGCCCAGGTGGGGAGCAGAGTTTGGACTGAAGGGGGATGGCATGGATTGAATTGTGCCCTCCCGAAATGTGTGTCAACTTGGCTAGGCCATGATTCCCAGTATTGTGTGATTGACCACCATTTTGTCATCTGATGTGATTTTCCTGTGTGTTACAAATCCTATCTCTATGATGTTAATGAGGTGGGACTGAATCTACAAGATTAGGTTGGGTCTTAAATCAATCGCTTTTGAGATACAAAATAAAGAAGCGAGCAGAGACGTGGGGACCTCCTACCACCAAAAAAGTAGTGCCAGGAGCAGAGTGCATCCTTTAGACTGGAGATCCCTGTGCTGAGAAGCTCCTAGACCAGGGGAAGATTGATGATAAGGACCTTCCTCCAGAGCCAACAGAGAAAGAAAGGCTTCCCCGGGAGCTGGCACCCTGAATTTGGGGTTTCTAGCCTCCTAAACTGTGACAGCATTAACTTCTGTTTGTTAAAGGCATCCACTTGTATTTCTGTTATAGCAGCACCAGATAACTAAGACGGGGGCGGTGGGGTGGGCTTTGGCTCAGCAGGAACAATATTGTTAAAAGGAGCGTTGTCTAAGGGCTGGGGTGCTGGGATGCCAACTAGTTGTCTCCAGGGCCTAGGGACAGGTGAGCCACAGCTGGATCTCTGCCTGCAGGGAGGCCAGAGTGAACATCTGGGCAGGCATGGGGTGGAGATGAAGGTGGGGGTGGATCACTTCCAAGTTTGAGTCCAGGTCAGAGCTGGGAACCTAGCCTCTCTCACTACAGAATCCCGCAATGGGCTAATGCTGAGGAATCCCGCCCAGCCACCCTGTCCACACCGCCAGGCCAGACTCTTAAGGACAGTTACTCTCTCCTAAAAAAAAAAAAAACGCAAAACCCATTGCTGTGGGGTCTCTTCTAACTCAGAGTGACCCTATAGGGCAGAGTAGAACTGCCCCACAGGGTTTCCAAGGCTGTAATCTTTTTAACAGAGGTGTATCTGAGTCATGGCGGGTATGGCATGTGCCCTGGGCACCATTTGAAGGGGAGTGCCACTGAGCAGTCTCAATTAACCCCGTAGGGCCCAAGGTCCTTCCTCAAGCATGGTAGACAGGCGTGGCAAGAAACGGGGAGAGAGGGGCACTTGCCCTTGGGCACAAGTTGAAGGGGGCACCAGACAAGATGCAGAATGACATTCCAAAGCTCCGCAAGTATAAAAGCCACCTGACTGAGACAGCTGGACAAGAGGGGGTAAGGCGTTTCTGCTATTCATCTTGAAATTGGGGGGCGGGGGGCAATATAGAGATTGCCCCTGGGCGCTGGTTACCCTTGCTGTGTCCCTGCAGGCGTGCAATTTCAGTGCTTGCCGTAGGCAGTAGGTAAGGCCTTTGGTGGAACCGCCTGCTTTTCGGTTAGCAGCAGAGCGCTTCACCACTGTGCCACCAGGAATCCTAGCCAGGCTCAAATCCTCATCCAGGCACTCAAGGCCTCCATGACTTGACCCCTCCCCCTCCTTCACTGAGTTTCTGAATGAGCCCTCCCCTCTCCTCTTTCTTGCCCCTAGGTTTCTACTGAGGTCTTACATACTCCCTCTCACAGCTCCGCTAAGACCCAACTCCCCGCCCCCACTCCCACTCCGAGGCTTGCTCTTGGGCTTTTCACTCAGGCTCTGCTGGTCCTGTCTCCGCTAGCAGGAGCCCCTAACTCTCCCCTCTGCCCGCTAGCATGGGGGCCCGAGGCCAGAGCAGGAGAAAGGACGACAGGAGGGCCTGGTGCAGTCCCTAAAACAGGCTCTTTAATATCATTTATGTCTTCACTGAAGAGCTTCGCTTCTCCCACCCAGCGCCGGCGGGGCAGCCGGGAGCCGTGGCCCGCCGGCTGGTGGCTGGCAGTGCAAGGGCGCTAGTAGAAGGAGTACTGGTTCTCAACCGCCCGTGGGCGGCCCCGCGCGCCCTCGCCAGCGCCCGCCTCGGGGGGCTCGTCGGCGCCACTGCCGGGGGGTTCCCGCAGGCGCTCGGTGCTGTCGCTGCGGCCGCGCGCACTGAGTGGGCCCTCGGCGGCGCGCGCGGGCGCGGGCAGGGAGGCGGACGCGGCTGAGGACGACGAAGGGGCCGAGGACGAGGTGGCGGGCGGCTCGGAGGGCGAGGCCGGTGGGCAGGCGCCAGGCGCGAGGCTGGAGAAGTAGTGCTGGCCGGCCGGCTCGGTCCAGCAGGCGAGCGCAGTGGGCGCGGCGCTGGGCGCAGGTCCCGGCTCTGCAACGGTGGGCGCGGGCGTCAGCCTTCCTCCCGGCCCTCCCTTTGTGGCGCCCCTGCTTCCACTGGCCCAGCCCTGGGCACACTCCCCTTTTCCCAGTCTGAGTACATTGGACAGGGGTGCAGAGACCCGAGGTGGCCTGAGATCACACCGCGAGGCAGGACCCGAATCTAGGTCTCGCAGTTCCAACCCAGACCTCTTTCCTCACCCGCCTCCTTGGATAATGATTGGATGCAGTGACCATGAGTGCGCAAACACATGGTGCGCAATCAGGTATGCTGGACGCCCCCACCTACCCCCCACCCCAGTGCTTCAGCCCCAGCTGTGCAGGGGTCTCTGAGCACAGCAATCATTCAGGACTTGGATGCTGTGGGCCACCCTGAGGCCAGACTGGGGTCAGGAGACCTGGTGCTTATCTCACCTACTGGGTAGGCACCTGAAAGTGACCCTCGCCCTGCCCCACCTGTCTGTCTTCTTAAGTCACCACACTGGCCAGGTGGGGGGGGGGGTCTTACCAGGTGGGGGACCCTGGGCCGGCACATAGCTGCGCAGGGTGATGTCGGCGGAGCCCCCTGACTCCAGCGGGATGGGGTGGGTGTGGAAGTGGCGGAGCATGTCAAGCACAGACTGGAACCACAGGTGCTGTACGTGGCACTGGCCGTGGCCATTCAGGGACAGGCGCAGGTGCTGTGGGCATAGGCGGGTGTGATCAGTGATGGGGTCCCACACTGGCCACCTGCTTGGTAAATGCCTTTGTGGTGGTTGGGAGGACCAGCTCTCAGAGGCCAGATGGGGCAGAGTCACTGCTGTGAAGGGCATGGGGAATGGGGGCGAGGGAGCCAGGCCAGGACTGAAGGGAGCAGGCACTTGCCCCCATGCTGGGAGAACCCACACCAAGCCTGGACCCATGCCCTTCACACTTCCATCTATAGTCCCTCCAAAGTCTCAGACGGTAAGGATTAATGCCTCCATGTTAGAGATGGGGAAACTGAGGCACAGAAAGGGAGAATGACTGGCTCACAGTCACTGAGCACAGAGCTAGGAAGAGAACTCATTTTTGTGTGCGTCCCGCACCCCAGCAGGCTAGGGGTCTGCCTTCTGTCCCCTGCAGAGCCCAAACCCAGAGGGGTGGAAACCGCCGAGCTGGGCTGGGTAGACATGACTGTGCTGCAGTGGAGCATCTGGAACGTGGGGAACAGGCTGGTCCTTCCCTGGGTCTCTAGGGTCCACAGGGAGCAGGAGGCTCAGGGTGAGAAGCTATAGGCCTGTGGTCTCTAGTGGTGAGCCACAGATCTCTGCTTCAGCCCTATTATGCTCCACAAGCATCACCACTAGAGGAAGAGTGGTATCTCCGGGGTGTGTGTGGCAAGAGGGGAGGTGAGGGCTGCTGGGCTCTCAGGGGATACATATGACCCCAAGCCCAGGAAGGGGAGCTGGCCTAGCAGCCACATAAAGGAGAGAAGTTCTGGGGCATGGGGGTGGGGGTGGTCCTTGTGAATGAGCTCTACTACTCACAGCACAAGAAGTCACCAGGTGCAGTGTGAGCAAACCCAGGGCGCATTAATGGTAGCCCAGGCCAGGGGCTCAGCCCAAGTCTCTTAACTGTCTGAAAGTGCAAGTGTGGCCTAGGAAGGCGGGGATCTTCCTGCCCTGGGGGTTTGCAAGCAGGGGCCTAGGGCTCCTCATCTCCCCTGACTTCTGGGCAGTCACCTCCCTCTGAGTACCCGCTGGGCAGAGGTGAGGGGCAGGTTTGAGGCCTTGCTTCACCACCTCTCCCCCTGCCCTGCTCTGGGCTGAGCACCACCTTGCCCCAGACATGGGCACAGGTCAGATCCAGCCCTCCGGGGAGGCAGCCTGGGGAAAGGCTGGCCGAGATAAACTGCCGGCCGCCAGTGACTGCGTTAAGTGCCTGGTTGTAGGAGGAACTGGTAAGGGTAGCTGCTTTCCAAGGGGTGCCCCCAGGGTGGTGCTGCCTCCTCCAAGGCAGAGCCAGCGCTGCCAGGGAGTGCCCAGGGAACGCTAGAGGGCTGCCGGGCCAGCGGGGCACGGGGGCGGGTAGGGGCCTGCGGACAGACACTGACCACCAGCTGCAGGCAGGGAGCAGGATTGCTAGGGTACCCCTCCTCCAACGGGGACTGGCCGGCAGCTGTGTCCTGGGAGGAGCCAGGACCAGGTCTGTTTCCTTACGGGTGGGGTGGGGAATTGAGGTTCCTGCCCATTTTGGCCACATTGTACCCCCCCCCCCAATCATTTGACTTTTCACCTTAGCTTATTATTAGCATGCGATTCCCTTCCACAGACTGGGGGCACCTCCAGACCTTTGCTCATGCTGCGTCCTGTCTGGGTCACCCTTCCCTCTTGTCTCCACCTGCACAATTCTTCCTCCCACTTCATATCTCAGACCCCACTCTAGCTGCTGGGGTCACGTGCCTCCTCTGGGACCCCCCCCCCAGGCCCTGGGCTACCCTCCTGCCCAGCCCATGCCCCCTCTCCTGCCCAGCCCTTGGCCTGAGCACAGGGCCGGCCCAGAGCTAGGGTCCAGGAGGGGCTGGTGAACTGACCTGAGCAGGGAGGAGGGGCTGTCTGGAAGTGGGGCAGGAGGTGGGGGCTCTGAAGGCCCTGGCTGATCCCGGCCCTGTACCGAGGTGGCTCTGGGTGAAGCTACTCAGAAGCCCCAATGCACAGGGTCCAAAAGGACTTGCAAAGTTATCTCCCCAGAGGGCCCAGCCTCCTGTGGGCTGGGCCACCAGCACATGGTGTTTCCATCTGGATAATGGAAAAGCTGGCTTGGGCTGCCTGCAGCCCCTCAAAGAGGGGGTGTCGGGGGGGCGGGGGGGGGCAGTGATTCACAGAACATGGCCAGGGTAGGCCTGGCCCGGGGGAAGTCATGCCAACCTACACCCAACGGAGCCTGCTCCAGGATGCAGCTTCAGGACCAGAGCTACCTTAGCCCCCATACCTGGCTGTCTGCCCAGCCCCTGTGGCCCCCGTGCATACTTGCCTTGGCCTTGCCCTGGAAGTTGAAGGTCAGCACATACTCCCCAGGCCGAGTCTCACTCTGGCGGATCACGAAGAGGCCGTGGCTCCGTGGCCCCCCTGCCAGCACCAGCTGAGCTGCCTTGACCCGTGACAGGGTCCCATGGAACCAGGGGTAGTCGGAGAGCTCCAGCTCCAGCTCAGGGTCAGGCTCGGGCTCTGCTCCCTCCTCCCCTGGGGAGGGAGGATGGTGTCAGGGGGGTAGGAGGGGGGCAAATCAATGACATAAGGGTTTTTAAATGTAAAGTGCTGTTTGAATAATTTTAGAACTAAGCAGGTTGTCTGGCCCAACCTACTAGTTAAGCATAAGGTAAACTGAGGCAGAGTGACAAGTCATCGACAAACCTGGAACAAATCAAGCCTCCTGTCTCCAAGCCCTGGTTCCGACCCTTCGCACCCTCGGTGTGAGCATTTTCAATGGAAATCATGTCCTGTGTGAAGGGCCAGGTTCCCAGGCTCCCCTGCAAAACCTCTCAACCCAGAGCTACTGAGGAGCTGTCAGAAGGACCCAGTGGGATGACATGCCATAGCTTCTGAGGCTCAGGTGGGCTTGGAGGGAGGTGCCCATGCCTGGGGTGGGGTCCAGGAGAGGAGGGGCAGGGAGAACAGGCCGCCCCCACTGGCACCTGTGTTACTGCTGTCACCGCCGCCGCTGCTGCCCGGGGACTCCAGCGTCTGTAGGAAGGTCTCTAGCGGGACATGGACCAGGGACTCCCCAATGGCATCCCGAGCCCGGCTGTGTGGGGCGGTCACCACAGCACCCACTGCTTCCATTGTCTCTGGGGGCTGGGGCAGGTCTGCTGCTGGGGAAGTGGCAGAAAAGAAGTATGTCTGTCTGTCCATCCTCGAGCATCCACCCTCTCCAATCCTGCCTCCCACCTTCTCCAGCCCTGCCCCCACTTACCCTCTGTCAGGAGCTCACAGCTACAGGAGGCCACGCGGCTGCCCAGACAGCCTCCCCGAGCAAACGAGAGCTCGCTGTCTTCCTCACTATCCCTGCAGAGGCAAGAAAGCACATGTGGTACCAGGGGACCCAGACTCGGACCACAGGCTGCCACGGAGCCAGGTAGTGGCTGGCAGTCCCATGACCAGCCTTGGCCCTATCCTGCCCTCTGCTCACCGGGGGTCCCTCTGCGGCCACCATGTGAGTGTCCCGACCATGTGGTGAGGCCTCCAAGTGGGTACAGTCCTCCCTGAGGCCACATGACCTCTGCCCACTAACCCCCCGGGGTGGGTTTGCATGGAGTCACTCCAGCAGCGGGAGGGTGCTGTGCCTGGGTCTCGGGCTCCCCATCTGTAAAATGAGGTGTCTGGGACCCTGCCAGCTCTGAAGCACTGCACACTGAGGTTTACTTTCATAGGGGCAGGGGGACGAGTCTGCAGAGCAGATGGTGGGGAGGGTGGCAGGGGAGGGGTTACAACCACTTAGGGGATCTGGGGCCTGGCCGGCAGCAGTGTTCAGGACTTTAATTGTGCTGCCTTAAATGAGACTGTTAATTAGAAAGCAGGGCCCCTCCCCCTGGGGCTTGGCTCACCCTATTAGCAAGCAGGAGCTGCTGCCAAGTGCTTGGCTGCTGGCCCGCCTGCCCTTCCCACTCCTGCCCTCTGCTTATCGCTAGCCATGGCTCCCCACTGCCCCTGCCTTACCAGCCCCTGGGTTCTCACCGCAGTCATCTCCTCATGAGCTCTAGCTCCCCCAAAGGCCTTAAGGTTCCCTGCAGGTCCCAGGCTCTTGCACATGCTACACCTCCCCACGTGCTATTCTCTGCCCCGCCCCCACACCCCTCTGGCTGGCTCAGGCCCACTCATTCTCTCAGCCTCAGCCCAGGATGCTGTCTCTGAGCCCTGGGGCTGGGCCAGGGGCCTCCCTGGCATCCCCGTCCCCAGCCCTTTGGGCTCACTCCCATTACTGCCCATGCCCCAGTGGTCCGAGGCTCCCTGGGGGTGAGGACAAGAGTTCCTTCCAGGTTCCCAGGCCCTGCAGAGTGGACCTCACAGAGGCTGCTGGGGGTGGGGGTGGGAGGGCTGCCCTCATGTGAGCCTGGTCTGCACCCACCTGGGCAGGACTTCGATAAGGGCCCGTTTCTTGCACTCAGCTCCTGCCTGAACCAGGAGGTTGCTCCTCATGAAGGCCGGACCAGGGGCACACCCTACACAGACCCCCAACCTGCCCACCCATCCCAAGGCCTTCCGGGCACTCACCCAGGGTCCACACAGCCCTGGATGTCAGCCACCCAGGAGTGCTTCTGCAGTGAGTCGATGGTCTCCAGGATGTACTCAGCTCCGTTCTCCACCTGGGAGGGAGTGGGCCAGGAGTCCAGCCCTGACTTAGTGCTCCAACCCTCCTCCACCCTCAGCAGGACGGCTCCAGACCCCAGGACACATGGCCAGAGTGCCCGCCCGAATCCCACCCCTCCCCTTTGCAGGCTTACTGGTGTGAACAGCAGGGAAGACAGTGGGCCTGGGCAGCACCCCAAACCCAGGCCAGGCCAGCATCCTCGGGTGGAGCCTGCAGCCCACACTCTCAGCAGCCCCTTCCTCCCAGCACCCCCTCCAAGATGGTGTCCAACTCAGCTGACCTCAGGTCCGCAGGCCCACGAGACGCAACCTCTGAGAAGGCCATACTGGCTGGGAAGGGATGAGCTGCCCAGCATCCGAACCCATGCCTGGCACCATGGAGATGGATGACAGGGCATCACAACCCTCAGGTCCCCTTGAGAGGCCATTGCTCACATGCCCCAATGCCTGGAATGCCACCGTGATGGCCACCCCCCTAGCATAAGCAGCCTCCAAAAGGGTAAGTATGTAGGACAAAGTCCCTGCTACAAGTCAGGCCTGTGTGTGGCCTTTCATCCACGCTGTCCAATAAACTCCTCTCAACAGCCCTGTGAGGAGGAGCGTGCATTTCCCTCGTTTTACAGATAAGAAGATGGAGGCTCAGAGACGTCAAGTAACTTGCTCAAAGTCACACAAATGTGTCTCCAGGACGTTCTCTGTGCTGTGTCCTGCCATGTGCCTCTGTTAAAATGCAGTTGTTGGATTGCTAGCATCTCAGAGCTGAAAGGCTTCTCAGAGACCACCTCAGCCCTTCCCTGAACAGACAGGCTATGGAGCCCTGGCATACTCAGCAGCACGGTGGCCCGCCCTGCTGTCAGGGCTGTCTTGGGCCTGTCTCACACAGCAGATGAGATGGCCGGTAGGCAGGAGCCGTGTCTCCAGCCCTAGATGGGGTGGCTCAGGGTGTGGGGCTGGCAGTGTCTGCCACGTGAAAAAGTGAGCTGTGACTAAACAAACAGGGATAGGCAAAAACATACACCCAATCAGGAGCCTGGACAGGAGAGTGGGGCTTCATGCAGCCTTGGCTGGGCAGCACCAGGCCTCCCTGGGGGCTTTTCCTCACACTCTCCATGCTGTGACAGGGCACAGGAGCCGTGTCCTCGGCTGCCCGAGCAGGCCACTCTAGTGACATGGGGGCTGGGAAAAGGGCAGGGTGTCCCCAGATCCCCTGGGGTGCCTCCCCACCCACCCTCTGTGCCCTCTGTGGGACTGGACTGGTTCCCACACTCCAGTGCCCTGAGGGAGGGGCATTTGCATAACCGCTACAGGCCCCAAACCAGTCCAGGGCAGGGTGGGCATGTGCTGGCTCCAGCAGGGGGGAAGTGAAACTCTGAGGAGCTTCACCCAGGCCCAGGAGGAAATGGGAACAAGGTACCCAGTGGTGGGCAACACCAGGGGCCCATGGTTTTAGAGCTTGGACCCAGATTCAAGCCTGCTCTGGTGCCTGACATTAGGCCCTTCACCCTCATCCCTCCCTGTGGTGACCTTGAGCTGTACCACTCATGAGGGAGGAGGCCAGAGGAGAGCTCTCACCTTGAGCACAAACGTGTTGTCCTTCTCTGGCATCTCCAGGGGCATGGTGGTGCGGACCTCGATGATGGCTGAGAGGGGAATGCTGACCTTGGGCCTGGAGGCCTAGGAGGCAGAGGAAGGGGCAGTGAGAGTGGTGCCCCAGTGCTCCTGAAGCCCTCTGCACCCTCCCTCCCTCAGCTTAGAATGCCATGCAGCCCTGGCACAGAGGCATTTCCACCCCCATTTCACAGATGGGGAAATTGAGGCAGTTTCTGAGAAGTGAATGAACCCCCTCCTCAATAGTCACACAAGTCAGGGACAGAGCTGAGACTGACATCTGCGTCTCCTCCCTCCTTCCTGAAAGAGTGAACTCCACCCAGGCTGCCCTTCTGCCTGGTATACACACCAGGTCTGTGGTTTTCACACTTTTTTGAACTTGACCGACAGTATGAAATGCATTTGACATTGTGGCCCAGTACTCATCTCCATAGGTAAAAATACCTGTGGAACAAACATTTCACTAGACAACATTTACCCTTACTGTGTGTGATGGAAGGTGATATTTTCTATTTTATTCTAGTTCATTTGAAAAAAATAAAGAAAAAAAAGCTGGTCTCCTGCTTCAGACTAGATTTTCCAGGGCAGAGCTGCACCCTCCATTCTGAACGGGGCTCCTGGGCTGGGCAAGGCTGTGTGTCTCCTGCCCACAGCTCAGGCTCTGCCCGCTCCCCAGGCGACCAAGCTGGGGCAGGTGTGCGTAAAACGGTCTAGTGTTCCCAGTAATGCTGCAGTGTTTAACTGATGTGAGCGGGCAGGCGCCCTGGGAGGGCTACTTGTGCTGGCCCTACCCTCTCCGCCCAGCTCCTGGCCAGGGCCCTGAGGCCCCTTGGCTGGCCTGAGACTGGGATTCCAGGCAGGGCTCGGGCTGCAGGACAGGGACTTTCTCGGGAGGAAAGGGAAGGCCCACATGTTGCATGGGCAGGGGCAGAGGAATTCCCGGCAGCACTGGCCCCTGGCCAGAAGCCACAGGGCTGGGCTTGGGGCGGTGACCAAGGGGCTCGGCTGACCACAGCATGAGGCCATCACACCAGCCAGTGGGGCTGGGGGCTGAGGCCTTCCATCAGCTGGAGCAGAGAGAGGTCTGCAGGGGAGGCCTGGATTGGGGACTTCAGCGGGGGCTCCGCTGGCTGGAGGCACTGTGATTCCTCGGCCTGCCCCAGCCCCAGCCCCAGCCGCCTTACCGTGCTCCTGCACCTCACAACTGCAGGTCTCTGCTCCTTTGGCTCCTGCCTCCCAGGATGCCTGTCCCAAGGCCCCAGGGCTCACCCCATTGAGACTTACTACCCAGTCCTGTCAATACCTGATTCCTGGTGGCTCTCCCAAGGGCACTGCTCCCTGGGCTGATCTGGGCTGTGGGTGGTATCAGCAGCGGTGCCCTGTAGGGCTTACTCACCCTGGGGCTTTTGGTCTGCTGGGACCAAACACGTTTGGGAAATCCAACCTGAGCACACACCCTGGTATCATCCACCCTCCCATAGGGCTGCTCCTGAATACCCAAAAGTTTGGAGGAAAAAAAGGAGGGTCTGAGACCAGATTAGGGGGTGGGAGCCCACCTGCCTTCTTCAGGGGTTGGGAAAGGCCCAGTGAGCCCTCAGGGGCGCCGCCTGCTGGCGGCAGTGGTGTTGGCGGGCTCTGGCAGGGCTAACAGAGACAGCACCGGCTGCTGCACTCCCCCCCTGTGGGCAGCACACAGACACTGCTATTTTCAGAAGGGCAGCTGGGACTGCCACTCAGGGCCCAAAGGAGTTGACAGCCTGGGCTTCTGCCCCTGCCCTTTGGATGACCCTGGGCAAGCCCTGCCCCACTTCCTGTTCCTCACTGGGGCCTCAGTCTCCCTGTCTGGCAAGGAGTGAAGCTGGGCTTAGTGGTCTATGATTTCTCTCAGGAACCTAAGGGTGGAGGCATGTACAGTAAAAAGGCCCTTGGAAAGTCTGGGGGTCCTGGGACTTAGGGAGACTGCCCTTTAGAGAGTATGTCCCTGAGAAGTCACTCCCTAGAGCCCATGGGGCTCACAGACATCCAGCTTTGGAGAGCTCCAGTGGGAGGGGCACCCAGAGTCACTGACAGACTGGGAGATGGAGTAAGAACCAAGGGTGACTAAGGGCTCTGAGGTGGGCTAGAGACCTGGATGGCTCCTGGGGGTGCCGCCAGCTGCTGCACCAGCACAGCTTGCCACCTCCCCGCAGCCCCCCGCCCCGTGCACAAGGAGCACCCACCTCCACACACGATTCATTCTCCAGACCCCCACTCCCCTCCCCCCCCCACCGGGGTGGTGGGTATAATTAGACCAGCTCTGCCACCCACCAGCTGTGAGACTTTAGGCAGGCCACACCCCCTCTCTGAGTATCCGTTTTCTCTTCTGTGACCTGGGGCCACCTTGCTGGGGCACTGGACGGACGAGAGCTTGTATGTGCATACTGCCCACCAGGCCTAGGGCTGGGCACCTGGCAGCGCTCAGAAAACTAGCACTACTGTTACCGTTTTGTTTGTTTTCCAAACAAAGCAGGTTTGTCCTCCTGGAGAAGATCAAGGCTGCCCTGAGGGCTCTCACAGTCAGTCCCGAAGTAGGGGTGGTGGTGCACGAAGGTGAGCCCTGGTGCAGGAGGCAACAAAAAGCTGAGCTTCCTCCACCAGAGATGAGGCATCTAGGCTGGGGCTGGGCAGGAGTCTGGAGCCGGGCTGGGGATGAGCAGATTTCCACTGAGCCAGACACAGACCTGGAGAAGCCCTCATCTCTGCAAGCCCCAGCTCTGGGACACGCCAGCCTCCCTGAGGCCCCAGGTGAGGAAGAAGGAGCACAGGGCAGGGAGCGGTACCCTCCAAGCCCCTGTGTAGCCAGAGAGCCCTTCTCAGCTGAGACCCTTCTCCCACTTCACAGATGAAGAAACAGACTGGACGGGGTGACTGGTCCAAGAAGCAGAGCTCGGCCCACATTGCAGGCTCCTGCCACCAAACACTCCATCCTGTCAACCAGACCAGGCATGCCAGTCTCCCACAGCTCAGGGTCACACCAGGTTCCTCCGTGCTTCACACCCTCCCCCATGTGGGAGGGGACACTCACCTTGGGCGGCACGAAGAACTCCAAGCGGAAGCGCTCGCCAGCAACGGCCCTGCGCAGCAGTAGACGGCACTTCTGCCACTGGGCAGTGCCGCCGGGGCCCGCGGCTGCGTCGTCGGCCACCATGAAGCGCAGCGCGCCCTCCCGCTGGATGTCTACCAACTCTACTTTGGCCGCCAGCGTCCGAGACAGCCACAGGCGCCGCGTCCACTTGTCGCGTGGCTCGGCCGGGGGCTCGGCAGCCCGCGGGGGGGCGCTGGCCTCAGGCTCGGCGCGCCGGTGCCACATGTCGCGCACGCCGTCCACCACACACAGGCTCATGTTGCGAAACGAGAAGCCCTTGCGGGCGCGGGCCTTGGCCGCTGAGTGCGCCGACACGTCCTCCGAGCTCCGGGAGTGGCCGTATGCCGCCGCCTTGAGGGTCGGGGGCTCTGCCGTTTCTGGGTCCATGGCGTCGGGGGGCTCGGCCACTTCCCCAGGCGCCGGTCTGGCCACCAGCACGCGGCGCACCTCCTCGCCGAAGATGTCCAGAAAGTTGGCGGCGAAGTGGCGGGAGAAGGAGGCGCCGGCGTCTGGTGTGTCGTAGGCCGGATTGTCCCGCAGGAAGCGGCAGAACTTGTGCGCGAAGTCCACGGCGGCCGCCTGAGCGTGCAGCTCGCAGAACTGACGCCAGTCCGGGCCCAGAGCGGCGGCGGCGGCGGCAGGGCCGGCACCATTCATGACGCCCGTCCCATCGCAGCTCCCTACGGCTGCGGGAGAAGAGGCGGCCGTGGCCTTATGACCCAGGCCTACACCAGGGGCCCCACCTGTCCCCTTCCCTCCCCCACGGCCGCTTGGGCTCCCTGGGGCTGGGTGGGGAGGGCCTGGAAGAGCAACAACGTGCAGCCTTCTGAGCAGCGACAATGTGAGGAGAAACGACCTGGGAGGAAAAACGCCGACTCAGCGGGAGGGGAGCTGCATTCATTTTCTCCTCAAACTGCAGTCTCAGGGACCCCAGTCATTCCTGCAGCTGCCAGAGTAGGCTGGGATGACAGGTGCCTTGAAGTGGGTTCCCACGAGCCCCCAGTGACCTCACTTCCCTCAATATCCTCTTCTGAGGGCCCCAAAGCCCTCACATGCAATCCTCCACCTTCAAATTCCTCCAGGAACCCAACTACTCCTTACCATCCAGGCTGTGGCCCCAGGATCCACATAACCCCTTCTCTTGCCTGCAGTCCTTCAGCAGCCTCTTCACTGGTCTCCAGCATCCCGACCTCACCCCCTATAGTCTGTTCTCCACCCCGGAGCCCAGGCATCATTTCTAAAACATATGACTGAAATCCCCCCTCAGTAGTCCCTGCAACAACTCTTACTGTACATAGAGTAAAAGTCAAAGCCCTAGCCTGATCGGCCTCTCGGAGCTGACCTCCTGTGCTCTGGCCACACCTGCCTCCTTGCTGCTCTAAAAGCATGCCAGGCATTTCCCCACCTCAGGACCTTTGCACTTGCAATTCTTTCTTACACTTGCCTGGAATGTTCGCCATATCCTTCAGGTTTCTGCTCAAATATCATTTTGCCTGTTAGCTTTCCCCGACCATTCTGTTGAGAACGATAAATAGCCTACTCCACTTCTTTTCCTGCTTATTTTCCTCCACAGAATTTATCCCCATCTGACATACCATGTATTTTACTTGTTTGGTGTGTTGTCCACCCCTGTCCCCTGCCCCATGAGAATGCCAGCTCCACAAAGGCAGGGATTTTGACAGTCTTTTAAGTGGCCAGGCACATGGCAGGTGCTCAGTGAACACAGGCTGAATGAATGAATGTGTTCGGCAGCACACAAGGGGTGTCACAGGTGTGACTCCTGAAGCCCTCACAGCAGGCCTAAAGAGGTGGGACCCTGAAGACACACAGCTTGTTAGAGGCAGGTCTAGGATTCTCACCCAGGTCTGCCTGACTCCAGTGTACAGGGGTCACCAACCAATGTGGCTCAAGCGTGACCAAGTTTTCATACCAGCGTCGAAGGCCCTGCCTTCTCCACTTCTTTCCCTCACAGCAGCTTGCACCGCCTACGTGTACTCCTACCTCCTGGAATCCTGTTTCCCTTGAGTTCCCATCTAAATCTGACCTTGAAAAGGCCCAAATCAGGGGCCACCTCTCCAAGAACCCTGCTTTCTCCTCCTTAATCCCAGGCCCCTCCATCCCTCACCACCCTGGATCACCAAACTACATGGGTGTGTCCAGTCGGTTATTTAGGGCCTCACCCCCTCATCCACCAAGGTGACCATCACCCAGGGGGACACAGGTTCAGCCTTCTGTGTTTATGCACACCCCCCGCCCCTGGAATCTAGGTAAAAATCACCGACAGAGAATAAGTGGGGTGATATGGCCCTGCCCTGCCTTGGGAAGCCCCTGTCTGAGCCCCTGACTGTCCTTCCCAGGAACTAAGATGGAGTGTCATGTCCTCACCTGCTCCCTCCAGGGTCCCCCACATCTTCTGGCATGCCCTTTCTCTCACAGCTCCTGGGAGCACCATCTCATCTCTCCCCTGGATCCAAACCATGTAATTAAATGCCAGGTAAAAATAGCTGCCCCACTTGTGTGAGATCATCTGCAGGGCCTCTGGGCTTTGGGGCAACCTTAGCCATTAGTCTGCAGTTAGTAACCAGATGGCATTGGGACAGCCCCAGGGAGGAAATGGGGACACTTGGTCAGTTTCACAAACCAGCCCTTCTCCTCAGAGATGCCCACCCTGGTGTGGGGGGAAGGATGGGACAGCAGCAAGGAGCTAGTCAGGAAGGCTTCCCGGAGGAGGTAGGGCTTGCATTGGGCTTTATGCCCACAAAGAGGACGAAGAGGGTATTGCAAGTTAGAATGGCACAAGCAATGGCTTGGAGCAGGACTTGTTAGGACACAGGGTAGGGGTGGCACTGAGAGTCCATGACGATTTGGGAAGAATGGCAGCTGAGGCGTCCATGAGTGTGGGCCATGCTGGACCCTCCCCTCCCCCACTCTTCCTCCTTTCATTGCCTAACTCCTACTCATCTTCAACAATTACTTCAGGGATCACTTCCTCCAGAAAGTCTTCCCTGATCCCCACCCTGCCCAGCCTGGCCCAAGTATCTCCTCTGAGCTCTCACAGTCCCCTCCTGTACTTCCCTCTAGTGAGGTGCCAATTACAGGGTGCTCCAAGTGTCTGTTCCCATGTTTGTCTCCCCATCTGGCATAGGCACTCCTCTGGGGCGGAAGGCAGGCCTGAGTCATGTCCCAGGCTCCTGGCTCTTTCTCCTGGGGTTGGGGGCGGGAAAGCACCTGCCACCAACATCAAGGCCTCCAGAGAAGGTGGAGAGCCGAGGCCCTGGCCTGCCCTGTGGGGGTGGCATTTCCTGGGAGCCTGCAGCTGGACCCATGAGGTCCTGTCCCTGTGCTGCAGCCCATCAGTTTACCCACAGAGTGCTCCTCACAGTGGCTAACTCTTCCCCTGCATCTTTGGGACCACCAGGGGGTCAGAGTGGATGAATGGCAGAGGGGAATGGCTCGTACAGGGGCCAGCACCAAGGTGCGGCAGTCTCTGTTTAAGATAATTACAGGGGCAGGGAGGAAGTCAGCCCAGTGCCAGGTTCTCAGGCATTAATTCTCCATCCCTCCCCACTCTTCCTGCTGGCTGGGAAAACCCTTGGCAGGGAGAAACGGCGGGTGGGGGCAGGGTCCTGGGGACAGGGTCTCATAGGGTGGGTTCCAGTTAGCGCCTCCCTGGAGGTGGGGTGGAACTCAGAGAGGGCTCTGCCAAGGGTATAATGAGCGTGGCCACGTTCTGGGCAGGGACTGCCCTGGGGGGTACTGGGAGGTCGGGGCTGCTCTGACCCCACCCCCGCTGGCTGGCCTGATGCCCAGCACAGTAGCCCTGTGTCCCCTGGGTGCAGCCCAGACTGCACAAAAGAGTCAGAGGTTGAGGCAAGAAAGAAGAGTACCTCCACAACAAAAAACCAGCAGGCGGATGTGAACGCTGCCGAGTGAGGCCCACGCCGTTACCGATGGAGAGACTGAGGCCCAGACGTGGCTCTCTGAGAAAGGCTGCAAGCCAGGAAGAGGGCCTGGCCATGGGAGGGACAAGGTGTGCTGTCCCCAGTTGTCCTACGGGGCAGAACTAGGGAAGAGGCCAAATGCAGGGATCTTGGCTGACCCGGGTTCACTGCTCTCTGGGTGAGTGGCATTCACCACCACTCCAACGTCTCAGCCTCAGTTTCCTCCCTTTAAAAATAGGGATGTCTCTCCTTGAAAGGCCTGCTTTGAGCCTCGGGGAAGGCAGCACAGGAGTCAGTCTCTGCAATGTTGTAATCCACGTGCTGTCACCGGCAGGGCTGGGGCTCCCCTCGCCACTGGGTGGAGCCAGGAGGCGTTGCCAGACCTGCCAAGGACCAGCCTGCGTGACACCCAATCAATCAGACCGAGCCCTCTGTCTTGAGCAGGAAGGCATTCTGCGATGACCATCCGGACTTGGAAAAAGTGGGGCAGGGTGGGAGTGGGAGGCAGGACCCAGAAGTACTGGAAGCAGGGTCCTCATGCGCCCAGACAACATGGGCAATCTCACCCCTGCCCCCCAGTCTTTGCCTGGCATTCTCTTGCCTGGACTGCCTTTCCTCACTCCTCTCAGCCTTTAGACTGTATGAAACCCACTCTTCTTCCAGGAAGCCTTCTCCTACACTGGCACTCCCTCCTGAGCTTCCATGGCCCCTTGGCCCCTGTCCTGTTTCCATGGGCAGGGTCCCAGCCATGCAGAATAGACCCGCTGAGTCAGCCGGGAATGGGACTAGGCCATGGGAGAGCTGGGCTCTATCTCTGGCTAGGCCCTGTGTCTCGGCCTCCCCACCGGGGGCCCGTGATTCTCACAAAGGAGCGATGGCCCTCTGACAATGAAGACGGCTGTCAGCCCACTGGGACCATGGCAGACAGGGGTGACTGCTCACCTCCACAGGCTTCTTCTCTGGGCACTGGGGCTGGAAACAAAGAGCATCCGCCCATCTCCTGAGGGGTCCGGAGATCAGGTGCTAGCCCCACGCGGGGGATTGGGTGAGCAGACCCCTCCCCTAATCCATCACCCGGATGTCTCTGGGCTCAGCTGGGCTGTCTGGCCTCTCCTTCTGGAAAAGCGTTTTTTTGTTCTCTATCTCATCAGGGCTATAGCGGGTGGACTGGGGCTTCAGGAGGGGAGGGCAGGGGATGGAAGTAGAGTAAGCCTAGAGTCCCTGCCTGTCGCCTTTCCAAGCCATCAACTCTCCCGACCCCACAGCCAGGAACCCAGACGGGGACCGCTTCCCCCTCCGGGCGAGACGCGGGAGTCCAGCGGGATGCGCGCGCGCGCGCGCGCGGGGCACGGGTGAGGGGGCGGCAGCCTTCCAGCCGTAAATATATCGCTGATTTTAAAAGGACAAAAAAAAATTCATGAGGCGGCCCCGCGGCTCCCGCTAATAGGAAGACTACCGATGGATCATGGATCGATGGATCAAGGATCGATTGCGCAGTGGGCGGCACCCTGCCTGGGTGGCAGCCCCGCCCACTTCCAGCAAGGTCCGCAGGGCGAGTGTCCCGGCGGGCGTCCAGCCCCCAGCACTTTCCCCGCAATGGGAAACTGCTGAGCCCAGGTAAGGGACAACGTCATCTCCCTTTCACCGTCTGTGGCCTCGTAGCGCAAACTCGCCACCCAGCACCCTGAAAGGCCGCCACGTCCGGGTACCCCCAGGCAGGACCCCTCCCCCCACAATCACCCCTT